AGGTGAATATCACGGTCAGTGGCATTTCTCGGGGGAAGCCAAAGTTATCTGGGGCCCCAGTGAGTCGACTGGAGTTGAAACATTCATAAACTGGCCAACCAAAGTGAAACAAAGATGTCATGTGCTTCGCTAAATAAGAAAAGCAGGAGTACCATTTTCTATTGCAAAAAGTGTGATGTTGCCCTATGTGTCGTGGACTGCTTCGAGAAGTGGCACGCGTGACAGAGTATGAGGTATCATAAACTGTGAAGTGACGCAGTTCAAACTCACATACAGTATTATTATTGTATACAGTGTGATTATATTTACAGTATCACCAAGTCTCAAGGTTGAATATTATGGTCAGTGGCGTTTCTTGGGGGAGGCCAAGGTTATCTGGGGCCCAACTGAGTCGACTGGAGGTGAAATATTCACAACACTGGCCAACCAAAGGGGAACAAAGACGTAGTGTGTTTCGCTAAATAAGAAAAGCAGGAGCATGTTCTTCTATTGTAAAAAGTGTGATTTTGCTCTGTGTGAGGTGGACTACTTCAAGAAGTTCCAAGCACAACAGAGTGTGGGGTATCGTAAACTGTGAAGTGATGCAGTTCAAACTCGCGTACAGTCTGAACAAAATATTGTTGTATATGGTGTGATTATGTTTACAATATCACCAAGTCTCAAAGTTGGGGAAAAAAAAAAACTACAGGTAAGCCCTCTGGAATTTCATAACATAATAAAGATTATACTTTGCATTTCATGACAAAATAATCACAGTTAGTTTTCATTTGTAAAAACTACTATTTTGTGTATATGTATAAAATTTTACTGTCTTTCAGGTTGTTTTTAGTTCGTATTTCTATGTTGCATAGAACGGAAAATATGTAGTTTTTTCTTAAAGTTTGCAATGTTAATTAATTAGGGTGATTTAAATTCTGGCCACAGAGGGCTCCTGGCAATTTCAAAGTCCGTATGTTAAAGGTTAATGAAATTCTGAGTATAAAGAATGTCTAACTAGACACTTTTTAAGTGCCTTTCCACTTTCGTTTTTCAAACATATTTGTAAAACTAAAGTTGTATACATATTCTCTACTACTACGCAGTCTTACCCGATGTGCATGTGAATGACTTCCCCCTAGTTCAACATAGACAGCATCCTTGTCATACACAATGCCTCCAACTCCTGAGAATGGTGCGTAAATCAACTTCTCCTTTTCCACAAGACTTCTCTTCTTCAGTTTATCTGGCAATGGACATGGGTCTGGGAGATGTGAAACATCATGAATTTTCAGATCTCCACAACCTGAAAATTCAAAATGTACTACCTTAGAAATTTTGTAGGAGCCGGGGTAGCATAGTGTGTATAGCGACTGGAAGACTGAGAGGTGAGAGTTTCAGTCCCGGTAGAGTCAAGAATTTTCTCTTCTCCACATCGTTCAGACTGGCTCTGGGGTCCACCCAAACTCTTACCCACTGAGTACCACAGGCTCTTTCCCCAGGGGTAAAGAGGCTGGAGCGTGAGGCTGACCACTAGCCTCTAGCCAGTGCCAAGGTCAAGAAAATGTGGATCTTCACATCCACTCCCCCACATGCTTTCATGGTAAAGTGCTTAATTCATTGAGCACAGGGTCAACTTTACCTCTTATTATGCAACATGAGGGAATGCTAGAGCTTATTTTTCCTTCTCATTTAATTCATGTACTGATGAAAGAATGTAGTAGACTTCTTATGCATTTATGAGAAACATGTATGAGATCAAAGCAGGACGGCACTCTACTATCCTGAATGTACTTTCACTATCTACCATATATTTGCTTAAACATAAGGATCAGTTTTATTTAATGGTCCCACAAAGTAGCTACCCTTTCTTTCTACCTGAAGATGGAGACATAGTCTGCCTCTCAAACATCATATATCCTTTTACCCAAAGCATGGATAATGTGTAAAGAAAATATTTCCAAGACAATACACACAGTACATACATTATATAACACACACACCATCAGCTAACATGAGATCTTACTGTTGCATAAGTTTACCTGGAATGTGTATGCTGCTCATTTTATTTAAAGCCATTCCTCGTACAAAACCATACAAACTGACTGTACGGTCCACTTTGGGATTCTGTCTTATCAGTTCTGGGGGAGTCAAATCCTCAAGTCTATCAGCTGAAAGAAATAAAATAAATAAAGTAATGGCATTTCTCAATAGCTTGACTTAATATAACAACAGCAGCAGCCTTTGTAATGCTTCATAAAGGACCAGAAGCTCTGCACATTACCAGTCCTGCAGGAATGGGCCATGTGTGAGGAAATTGCACTACCATAAAATGCTTGCTTATTGAACCACCATATACTGGCCACTGAATTCACTCGAAATAGTAAGGTCTTTACACTTACAAAGTAGACAACTTTCAGTCCAGTATGACATACAGGTTTACAACTCTTCAGTCTTTATTCGCCTTACATGTTTCGATTCAAAAGAATCATCTTCAGAGGCGCACCACTACGAGCAGGAAACACTGTCACATAAGATGTTTTAACACTATGCACTTAGGTTATGAATAGTGCTCACTATATCACAGTTTGCCCTATGCAGCCACGTTGACGTGTAGATTTACAAATCAAATTACTCTTTACACTTATCATTTAGGATGTGTTTACTCGTACGATTCTAATTCCCAAAGCTCACAAACACTGTATTTGTGTTTGGCTTGAGTTTTAACATTTCAGTTATTAATAATGAGATATCAAATGCCATGTTGCTGTCTTCATGTGGTTCAGACAAGTATTCACACATAAGTACAAGGTACAATAATACATCCATGGGATTTCTGTCAAACCAACTCATCAAGCTATCAAATGTCACATCTAAAAATCATCATTAAGAATGTGGAATTTTATGTTTTATATATTATTTATGACTATAAACTTACAGAGAGTATGAATAAAGGTGCAAGTTGTTACCGTCCACCTGAAGATAAAATCCAAACTGTCCACTGAATGAATACTGGCTGCTGGTATGAATCTACCTTGGGTTTATTCAAAGCTTCAAGCAATTCATCCAACTTCATGATACATTAACCTTCATTATGCCACATACTGACTAGAGCATGACAAGATACTGGAGTTAAAACTGCCAAAGCTAAGGAGATCAGCTCACTGTTAATGAATTAGTACAGCATTTCTGTCAATGTATGGTAGCCATTAAAAAAACATACCAGTGTTTAGAAGAAAGAACAGTCTTTCATATGATACAGACCCACTGCTGTCAGTAGATCAGCTGGGGAAAGTGGGGTGTGTGACTACATTTACACAAGAGCAGCCTCGGCATTTCTAGCGGGTAGCTCTACGCAGAGCTTGGAGTCAAAGGGTTAGTAAGGAACAATTTCAACAAGCAACAATAAGTCCAGAAATTCAAAATACTGTTTGAAACAAGAATTCTTAAAATAAACTGAATCAGTCACCTATCTTGATGGTGATTATACAGGGTTATTCAAAAAGAATGAACCGATTTAATGACGCATTGCTTCAGTTCTCAAGCATTGTCACGGAATGAGTCAGTGACCATTTGAAAGAGGAGTTATCTAAGTTGTGAATGGCTGCCATAGGGGCGCTGAAGTCGCGTCGTTCTTCCGGCAACGTTCAGTTGTTCGTTTACACTTGGAATGGTGAGTCCTCAGCAAAAGGCGTTCTGCATTCTCGAGTTCGTGAAAACAACTTCGGTTGTCACGGTGCAGCGTGCTTTTTGAAGGAGATTCGGCATTAATCCGCCCTGTCCTAAGAACATTCGACGGTAGTTTCGACAGTTTCAAGAGACTGGGTGTCTGTGTAAAGGAAAAAGTCCAGGACGACCACGAGTCTCAGAGGAACAAGTGGCGAGAATCCGTGCTGCGTTTGAGAGGAGCCCACGGAAGTCAACAAATCGAGCTAGCCGTAAGCTTGCGATCCCTCAATCCACTGTCTGGCGTGTGCTAACAGTACGTCTACATTTGAAACCATACAGACTGCAGCTCTTTTGGGCACTTACCAATCACGACAAAAGGAAGCGGATGGAATTTTGTGATTCGATGCTGGCGATGATGGAAGACGAAACCTTCATTTCACGTTTAATTTTTAGTGATTTGGCGACTTTTCACTTGAGCAGCACAGTCAATCGTCACAATGTGCATACGAAGGGGGACCCAAAAATAACCGGAAACGACCTGTTGCGCGCGCATGCTTTGTAGTTACAAGTTGTGCTGCTAGGTGGTGTTAGCTGGGGGTCTCCCGCAACTGTAAGAGAGCTGGCGTCAGTCTGAGTTAAGTGGTTTGTCTGTGGTGCTCTGTTGTGTGCGTTCCTGTTTCAACCCTTTGGCGATTAGTGAGATGGCTGACCAGAAGGAACAAAAAGTGTGCGTGAAATTTTGCTTTCTGTTAGGGAAAACTGCACTTCACTCTTCAAGTCGCGGCAAACATTCACGCGGTTTTCTCTTTGGTCATCTCCGAGCAAGCGAGGAACAAATTTTGCAGACACCCGTCTCATGTGCAAACCTTCGGTTAAAATTCGCTGGACCGTGCTCCATGAGATGTTCATTTCCTCAGAAAGTTGGTCAATGGTCTTTCGAC